ATGTGAAAGTATAACATTAAGCAATGTCGTAAAATCAGCCAAGTGTACTAGCAAGTGGCCACAGTGACCAAAGATATGCTGATTAACAAAGAAGATTAAAGTGGCATAAAGAATTAAAATGTGGCCTTTCTAATATGACCTGGGACAATATAGTGACTTTGATGCATCAACAAGTTCAAGCCATCTGTGCCTTGATGTGTGAGACACATGATAGCATCTTGAGCAGCTTCCTTGGCATTATCTACATGTCACACTCAACATTAAAAGGCAAAATAAAATGAGCAAAAAGTTGGGAAATAAAACCTTCTCACCAACAACAAAGCTAGGTTGTTGGTGTTCAGCTGTCTGGAGCTAGACGAGTGTAAGGATAGGACGATCCTATAATTTTAAAGCTCTTTTAATGTGATAAGTTACAGAAAAACTAGGAAAATTTAGCTGGGCATTGAAAACATAATGGTGATAGCACATCTTCTAGCACTTGGCAGAACTGTGGGTGACTGAGACATGTCAACCACAGACAGGCTAACTTTGAGGGCCACATTTATCTGGCAGCAGAAGCAGCTAAAGGAAAGCAGCTTGGCTAACAGATTGGTGCATAGTCTTTAAGGAGCCACAGCTCAGAACCGTTCACCAGGTCTCACAAGCACATTCACAAAATTTAGAATGAAGACGTGAAACATTCGAAAGGGGCATTGTTGAAAATATAAAGCAAAAGTCAGTTTTGGAAAGGGTCAACTGTAAAATATTGCCCCAAAAGAAAGAGTATTAAACTTAAAGTGCTATAATAAGTTATTATGAATATAGCTTTCTAGTAAAACTATATGAGATTTTATTTTTGTTTTGCTTTATATTAGGGAAAGTTTGGGCTTTTTTTTTTTTTTTTTTTTTTTTTAGTATTTTTAGGTTTGAGGGAGATTTTGCAAGAACAAAAGGAAAACTGGACTTAAAAGATGTTTTATTTAATACTGAAAATTCTATTTTTAATCTTTTATTTTCAAAAGATAGCTTAGGTGTTATACATGTGTTATCTTATGTGTTACATAATACCTGTTAGCAAGAAAGCACTATTCCCATTTGCAGATCAAGAAACTGAGACTCAGATAAGTGAATTTAACCCAAATCACGTTACTAATAAGTGATAAAGACTTTAATTCCTGGTTCTTACCACTCACCATGAAAGTCTTAAAAGGAGTGAAAAGAGAAGACAGGATTATGATGAAAACATGATAGGATGGAAATGAGAGCCATAAAAGAAGGTAAGAAGAGCATAGAACAGGGAAAGGTAAGGAAGGAGACCAGGCATTGAGAAAGAGAGAGAATTCTTTAGACTGATTGGGTCCTTTAGAATGGTAATATTCTCAGTGACTATGATCATTCCATATCACTTTAGCTGATGCTTATAGTCCTATGGAACGTCTTACCAGACAGGTCCACTTCCCACCTTACGTAGTACTTTCATAGGGCTACTTCAAAGTATAGGTTATAAAGGAGATTTACTCCACATGTCTTGACAGCTTTCAGGTACTGGAAGGAAATCAGATATGGATTATTTAAATAGAAATGTATCCTCAATGTGTGTGCTCTAACTGTATACTAGCTTTTCAAAAAAAAAAAAAAAAAAAGAAAATCTATGATTTTAATTCACAGGAAAGCAGATAGGATCTGTCATGGAGTGATAAAACACAAGAAAGATGTCCACATATGAGAAACACAACAGTTTTTCTTGTGCACCAATTTTATAGTACAAGTATCTGTCACTGTGTATACACATGCTGTTATTCATTAAAAAAGTCATGTATAATATTTATTCAGCAAATACTGTTGACTTACACATACTTAATTATCAGAAAGAGCCTAAGAAGTTGATACTGTAATGAAAACCCACTTTAAAGATGAGAAAACTGAGGCTCAGAGAATTAAACAACCTAAGGACACAGACTAATAAATAGCAGAACTGGAAGCAACAGAGGTGGTCTGAAGCAGCTGTGACCAGAGAAGAAATCTATGCTGTGAGAAATAGTAGGAGGAGAAAAATGGGGCAAAAAATGCGAGTATAACATTGTTTTAAAATGAAATCAAAGTGTAGCATGGAAAAGGAGGGAAGAAAGGTCTTGTAAATCTTTCGAGTAAAGAATGAAAATTACTCTATATACTTTATACTCTAAGGCTTAAATTAAGTAAGGTTGTTTTTCTAATTTTCCCTATTTATTTCTAATTTTGTGGGCTAAAATGACCCATTCAGCTCAGCCATTGGAATTAATACTGTTTGTCCTGATGGTTTCTCTGAGTAACGCTAAGTTCCACACTGCAGGGTTAGTGTCTCAGTCAAAGGTGGGTGTGTTATTTGGCCATTTTTTTTTTCCTCTTGAAAGTTAATTAAGTCAACATTAACTGTGGCCATCTAACCACAGAATGGGCAGTTTCTTGAAGGCTTATGGTTTGGATCTTTTCCTGCAAAAATTCCCACTTCTATAGTTATATTTAGTGTTCTAACTGCCTAAATAGCTGGCTTACTATGGACCCATGTGTCAGGCCTGTTTGCCATGGAGTTTGTCTGCTTCACTGGAACCTCAGTGCCAAGAGTATGTGGTTCCCAATGGACAGCCTGCCGAGTTCAGCCTCTCGTTTCTTCTCCAGAAATCTTCCAGGGGTTATCGTTGCCGATTTGATGCCATATGGCCCTGCAGTTCTCAAAACTGTTAACTTGATGTTTATAATTTTTAAAAAACTTGTCCATGTGCTTAACTCTGAAAGTAATGCAGTATCATCAACATGTGTGGTAGGGACCTATCCTGATGACTGTTCATATAGATGTGACAGAATTTTTTTTTAAGTACTGCCCCTGCACAAAAACTAGTTTTTTAATGTCAGTGCAGCTGTTTTAACTTAAAGAAAAAAAAAGCCACAAACATTTTATCCTCTAAAACTTTAATCTTCAAAAACATAGGACTTTTAAAGAGTTGTTTCTAAAACTGGTTAAAAACTCCCTACTCCTATTCTCCTTTAAGAATTGAATACAGTTCCTGAGATGTTGCAAAGTTACATACAAACTTTTCAAAATGTATGTTATTGCTCAATTCCTAGTAATCTTTGAAATGTTAAGTAATAATAGAAGCAGTAGCATTAGAATAGAAACAATAAGTAACTGTAGCTCTGTTCTCATAATGTCTTCCCTAAACTCAGTGAATTTTTCATGGACAAAGAGGCAGAGATGGCAAAAGGAAACAGTTGTGTTTTCCTGAGTTCACAGTAGCCCAACAAGTCATGGTAAATGTGTTTGCTCCTTATTTTATGCTGTAGCAACAATTCCACTTCCTATTACATAGGAAAACCTATTCTGCTATTAAAAGAGGTCACTGAATGTATTTACTACAACATTAAGACCATTTTGTCCATGGAAATATTTTTTATTGTTCTGAGTCACTCTGGTTTGTGGAATTTTTACATGAGTTCCAGGACAAGGATGAGATATTTATTTTGTATCCTCTTTAAATGTTTTTTGACTGCATGAATGTCAGGCTTGTTGTCAGAGTATTTCCATATTTTTATTACTTTAGAAGTAACTCTGCTCTATTTATGTCTCTTAAACTCTTCATTGACAATTCACTCTGTGTACTTGGCATGCTGCATTTTGGCAGAATTACCTGCTTTGCCCAGTGTGATGTGATTTCTTGTTCCTTTAGCTCCTATTAAAGTCCTCTCAATGTATGTCTTTACTATCTTAAAGGTTTTGCAGGCCATTGAAAATATTTAAATTGTTTGTTGGGCTGCCGGAAGGACTTAAATTGTGACCTTCAATTTGTTATGCTTCACATTTATTTCTTAAAGTAAGCCTCAATAGAAGTGTTCCTTAATTCAATCCAGAATATTTCTGTGCTTTAGACACACCCTGAAATCATAGAAATTCCTGAAATTCATTTTCAAATATTCATTGGTTTGATTGTAATTGTTGAACTTGTTAATCACCTCTAAGGAACTAGGTTTTAAAAGATGAGTAATCATATTAACTGTTTGAATATAAACTTAAGTAACACAGTTTAGATTTACAGAGAAGCAGTGGATGTTCTGACTTTTTTTTTTGAGAGGGATTCTCGCAGTGTCGCCCAGGCTGGAGTGCAATGGCACGATCTCTTCTCACTGCAGCCTCCACCTCCCAGGTTCAAGCGATTCTCCTGCTTCAGCCTCTTGAGTAGCTGGGATTACAGGCACCTGGTACCACGCCTGGCTAATTTTTTGTATTTTTATTAGAGACAGGGTTTCACTATGTTGGCCAGACTGGTCTTGAACTCCTGACCCTGTGATCCACCTGCCTCCACCTCCCAAAGTGTTGGGATTACAGGCATGAGCCACTGCACCCAGCCCGCATGTTCTGACATTTTAGAAAATATTTGAATAGAAAACAATGATTGTTCTATGGATTGAAATTTCAAGTTACTAGTTATTGATATTCCTTCCATGTATTATTCTGTGTTTGTGTAGTTCTGACTAAAGACTGAGATAAGATATAAAATTGAATCTTGGATTTCTTGACAAGGGTACGAGGATTGGGTGCTTTGTCTCTCACCTTCCTTAACTCATGTGCCCTATCTAGTGAGCCTCCAGTAGTGTGCTAACTGGCAGACTGCAACAGTATCCTACCTAGTCAGCCTCCAATAGTGTGCTAACTGGCAGACTGCAACAGCATCCTACCTAGTCAGCCTCCAATAGTGCATTAACCAGTTGTACTCCAACAGAGTCTTAACTAGTCAGCCTTTCTACAGAAAAATGAGACTATATTGACTCAATCTTACACTAGAAGGGAACAAAATGAGCAATTTCTACACATAATTTCTCTTACAAATGATCATGACTAGTCGTACACTAAGTATATATTCACAAGGTTGGTACATGTGTGTGGATTGTGCACATGAGAGCATGATTTAGTGTTCCCATGTTTTGGATGGGGTTTTTTTTGTGAGGAAATTGAAGTATATTAATCTCAATCATTTTATTTTCAACAGGTTGACATGATGAAAGAAGCATTGGAAAAACTTCAGCTCAATATAGTAGAGATGAAAGATGAAAATGCAACCTTAGATGGTGGAGATGTTTTATTCACAGGTACAGTTGTATTTATTTTTTCTATCCAGAAATATTTGTAATACTTGGCTTGTATTTACTTGTTTTATTAGTGTGTTTGTGTGTGTGTTGTTGTTGTTTTTGAGACAGAGTCTCGTTCTGTCACCTAGGCTGGAGTGCAGTGGCGCGATCTTGGCTTACTGCAACCTCTGCCTGGGTTCAAGCGATTCTCCTGCCTCAGCCTCCCGAGTAGTTGGGATTACAGGTGCGTGCTAATTTTTGTATTTCAGTAGAGATGGGGTTTCACCATGTTGGCCGGGCTGGTCTCAAACTCCTGACCCCAAGTGATCCGCCCACCTCAGCCTCCCAAAGTACTGAGATTACAGGCGTCAACCACCGTCACCAGCCTATTATAGTATTTTTAATTACCAAAGTAATAAATGCCAAATGGAGGGAAATTGGAAAATACAGAAAAAGACAGTAAGAAAGAAATGACCTTCTATTCAAATACAATCACTTCAGTATTTGGATATATGTCCTTTTAGTACTTCGTATGGATATATTTGCATATTTTTACAAGAACATTATTGGTATGCACATCATCACTAGGTATCTTGCTTCTTCTATATTCTTCTACAACATGAATTTATAAGTTGCATGGTTTTCCATTGTGTTACTGTATATGTGGTTTGTATTTAAAGGATTCTTAATTCAAGATTAGTGTCATTTACACATAATTTTCATCCCAGATGGCAAGATGGATTTAAATAATTTTATGCAAATTGACTTGGCTTAATGACAGATGAATAATAGCAGAACTCAACAAAATATGAACAGCTAATATTATTGATCTAACTAGAATCAGTTTTTACAATATAATGTGGCTACTAAAGAAACAGTAATTTTGGCATTTAACCTTTTCAACTCATTTATCATATAATTAGTGTTGTATAAAATCATGTGTAAAATCTGGGTCCCCAAATTCATTCTGGTTATACTAATGAGCAAGGTAATTAATAGTAATTTTAATTGATAGTCAGAGTTTATTTTCCCTGACATGTCAGAGAATAAATAACCTGTTTCACCAACGTAGCCCTGACAGAAAAGGCTGGTCCTCAGGGACTTGGGAATGTAACCCCAGGTGCCTGCTGAAAGCATGAAGCTTTTTGGAAGTCTAATATTTTAGCTGATGTGAATTTTATATTGAATCTCATATATACGTATAGCCAAGATATAGCCATTTTTGTTTTAATATCAAAATAATGTTTTACATTACTTACCTTTGGACATAATTAATGTTGCTGAAGAAGGAATGGTGTTTTCCTGTGACATTTAAGTAGTTCTTTGCTAAGTGTCACATACTGTAACTATGGGTGGGGCCACCGTGTTGCCAGCTCTGAGGGCGCCATTCTTGTTAGGAATTAGCCTGAATAGACTACCCTGGAGTTGTGCACTGCACCTATGCTGCCACTGTCACATGCAGTGGCCATCTCTGGAGTTTGGTTTGCATGCCCATTCAGCCCTAAGAATACAGAACAAGAAGTCAAGAAGGCCCACGCTGCATTCTTAGCTCTGGGTGTGCCCAAGCAGACTCAGGCATTCTTTGAATCTGCCTAGTAAGTTCCCCTTAGAAAATTCTTTGTGTCTCCCATTGATGGCACTTTCATTCTTTTTGACAGTACAGAACAACAGCCTGTTTCTCTAACAAAATAGGCTTTTGTGAAAAGTTAGATGTATAAATCACACTTCCTTACAATATAAATTTTTTATAAGAACATAGACATGCAATGAATAACTTATTGTAAGCAGGTACTGGTAACATTTGAAATATGGCTTAACCAAGCTACGTTCACAGCCATTTAGTTATTTAAGCAGCTGAGCTGAAAAGACCCCCTAAAAATCTCCTTAGTGTGAAAGTGCAACTTACCCTAGGAATCTCTTCTTTTGGTGAAAGGTCTTTCCCTGGCATCTCAAGCCTCGTAGTTTTGACCTATCTTCTAATTAGGTACTAAGCATTTAGGCTTCCCTTTGATACTACCTGTAGACTTTCTTATTTGTTATAGTCAATACTTAATGTGTTAGTAGTTACTTTGTTCAAAGCTGAGATGATGTTGGGATATCTTTACCTCCTTGGCACCTCATTCACACCTAATATGTGGTCCTGCCTTCTATTTTCTACTTCTCATTTCATCTATTTTATTTTATTGTGGTTAAACATACATACCATAAAATTTGCCATTTTAACCAATATTAAGTGTACAATTCAAATGACATTAATTACATTCCTAATGCTGTATAACCATTACCTCTCAATTTTTGGATTAAGAGTTAGATAAGAAATAAGGTCTGTAACACTTTCTATGTGCTCTGTGCCCTCTTTCCTCTGTAATTCAAAGTCTCATTCATAATTTATCAGGAAATGGACAGAAGGAAAGCTTCCTTCCAAATCCTATTCCTGCTGAGAAATCTGTGAGTCAGACAAGCAGCTACGGACAAAATTTGTTTCAATCCCATTTGTCTTAGCAACTTACCTATACTTTTGTTTATTTTTGTGAAATATAGAGTACATTTAAAAAGTCGTAAAATATTTATGTATAAAGATCAATAATAAAATGAACACCTGGGTGTCCACCTCCTGACTTAAGAAATGGAACATTGCCAGGACCATAGAATTCCCTGTGGGTCCCCCCAGTCACAACCTGTCCCTCCCCCAGCCTCAAGTAACCAACCAGTGTCTTGAATTTTGTGTTTGTTATTGCTTTGTTGTACTTTAAGTTTTGCCTCCATGCATGTATTCCTAAACTGTATGCTGTTTTAGTTTTGTCTTGTAGTTTTATAAAGCTACAAGAAACCTTTATTAGTCACATTATATGAACTCTTGCGTGATTTTTCTACTTTTGAACTCAGTTGATGTGTCGCTATAGTTCATTTTCAACGTTGTGCAGTTCTGTGATAAGAATACACCATCATGTATGTATTAATTTTACTGTTGATGTGTTTTTGGATGTTTTCCAGTTTTTGTCAATTATCTTCAGCGCTTCTATATACATTCTTGTGTGTGTCTCCTGGGAGCATATGCAAGAGTTTCTCACAAGTAAACACCTGGAAATGAATTTCAGGTGATAGGGTAAACTCTTTTTTAAGAAACGATTATATGATTTTCTTCTTTAATCTGTTGTTGTAATTTGTTTCATAATTCATTTTCTGGTATTTGACCAGTTTTGCAACCCTGGCATGAAATTAAACTTGATCATGACTTATTCTCTTTTTAACACAGTGTTGAATTTAGTTTGATAACATTTCATATTTTTGTGGCCTATAATTTTTATTTCTTGTTATCCTTGTCTGGTTTTGGTAAAAGAGTTATGTTAGCCTCATAGAACATACTAGGGAATATTTCCTCTTTTTCTGTTCTCTGAAATCAATGCTATTTGAATTATGTATTCCTTAAACTTTGGAAACAGGCTCTTGTGCTTTCTCTGTGGAGAAATTTTAAACTCATTTAGTTGATTTAATGATTGTAACAATTTAGACTTTCCTGAATCAGTTTTGATGAGTTTCATTTTCTAAGATTTTATCTATTTTAAGTTTTTTAAATGTTGGGTATAAAGTTACTTATATTTCCTAATACCTATTGAAGCTTCACACCAATTATAGCTATATTTTCTTTTCATTGGTAATGTTAATATATGCCTTCTTTCTTTGCCAGAGGTTTGCCAAGTTTATTAATCTTTTCAAAGGACCAACTATTGGCTTTGTTGAACTCTTTTTCTTGAATGTTTCTTCACATTTCTTTTTTATTCTGTTCTTATTTCTACATCTCAAGTTGGAATTTTATCTCATTAATTTTGAGCCTTTCATCTTCTCTAATGTAAGCTTTTAAGGTTATGTAATGAATCCTTATTTTGATATGGATATTTTTGTTATTTCGTTTTTTTAAATGTTTTATTTCCACTGTGATTTAATGTTTTTTTAAAAAAACTTAGTGTTCCAGCAACTTACAATAACCACCAATAACTCATAACTAACTATAATAATTTATATGTACAAGAAAGACTAAAGCATTTAGCTTTTCTTTCCTTTTATGAATTTTATTTCAAGTAGACTATACTTGATTGAGGAGGGATTTTCTTTTTAGGGTTCCAGCTAGTAAATGCAGGTGCCTAATAAAATAATGGATCCGTGCAATGATCAACCTATGATATTAAAACTTACTTATATGAAAGCTTGACAGGAAACTTTATAATGACGGAATCAGGCTGATGCCACTTGAACCCACTGATAATTCTAGTATCACTGAAATTGTGTCAGTCAGTAATGTGCCTCATGATATGATGCAGTACAAGTATAGCCCCATCTCTGAAGTCCTATTAAAAAATATATGAATGAGCATCTAATTAACCATCTACAGGAAACTGTCTGCTTACTGAAAATACAAAGGATAGAGGAAAAATTTAAATGCTAAGTTATAAGAGGAAGCAGTCAGTCAAAGCAAGAATATAGGCTAGTCAGTAGGAAAAATGGCCTGGTTTCTCCTATAAATGACTGAGATAGGAAGAGAAAAAACAAAAACGTGAATTGGCATAGAAGAAAATGACACAAAAGATACAAGATGATGTCCATTTCAGTATTTTAGTTGTTTCCATCAGAAAGGTTATTTGTAAGATCTCATCCAATATGCTGCCAGAGACAGAAATCAAACCTACTTTAAAGAGATAAGCTGCATTCTTCTCTTTGTACTTTCCCATCATGGCTTAGCCTTTTTTTTTTTTTTAATCAGCCCACATCACACTTTGAACACCTTAGTCTTTTAAAATGGAAATGGTATGCATGCCACCCTATAAATTTGTTATATATGTAAATCTGGAGATTCCCATCTTCCCTTTGTTTCTTGGAAAAGAATTCCACATAAAATGTGGGAAAACATATTCAGAGAGAAATCAGTATTTTTTGCCTCAGAGTCTTATGTTTTTGTTAAAATTTATAAATCTAATTTATAAACCTATTTTTATCTTGAAAGAATTAAAGCTGATATTTTTTTCATTGTAGCTATTTAATAAAGTACGTAATAGTTTTATCAAGTAAAATACCTCTCTCTGAGTTAAATTTTGATCTTTATGTAGTGAGTTTTCTTAAGGGACAACACAATCTTATCATTACCCAAAAACTGTCAATGTGCCACAAAAGATTCCTGTGTCTGCCAACAACATAAGCCCTTGGATATTGTCATAACATCACCTGACCTATGTAATTTGCCCCTTTTCTAAGACAAATGTTATAAGATTAAAGTTATAATATTTTTAAATCTATCAAGCAATTCCTTCCACATGGCTACTCTTCCTGTACTTTATTGTAATACTCTGAGGCAAAAAGATACTGATTTCTCTTTGAATATCTTTTCCACGTATTATATGGAATTTCAAAAAATGAAGGGAAGATGAAAATTCCCACATTTATGTATTGCCTAACCCCCATACTATATTTGTTTGCCTATAACCAAGAGACCATTTTTATCTAGAGTTCTACCTTCTGGGTAGAAAAACTACAGAATTCAGAAAAGTCAAAGAAGAAGAAAGTTTCATCCTGCAGAAATTTTGTACTTTGTACATAGGCATCTTTTGATGTTTTGATTTCAAATATATGGATGTATAGTTTAAAAGACAGGGCTCTTAGAGGTCAGACCTGAAGGCTGGTCAGCACTACACTCACTCTCCCCAGATTGTTTCTTGAGGCCTCACATGATCATTATAAGAAAAGAATCTGAATTCATCAACAATGTCTAGTATTATTCTTTTAGTGAAAAAAAAAAAAAAAGGTAGTATCGTAAATTCTCACTTACCCATGTTGATAGGTTTGTGGGAACTGACTTTAAGCAGAGTGACATATAACAAAACCATTTTTACCACGGGCTAATATAAACAAGAGTTAAGTTCCTCTGGAATATTTATAGTCACAGAAATATCACCCAGTTTCTGAGTCAAGACCTAAAACACTTTTATAATATTAAACATTGAAATAAATGTCAGCCATACACACATTTTTTTTAATTAATAAAAAGATAATTGCCCAATTTTTGGTCAATCAGTAAGTGACAGCAATTGTAGTGGTGGTGGGTTAAATCAGGGAATAAATGTTTGCAAAGCTAAAACTGTAAGGAGCCCTTCCTCCCACCACACAGCTCAAAACAATCACAAATATGGTAGGCTCGCTGAGTGCTTTCCTACAACATCGTTTATTAGTGTACATTATATGATTATTGGATATTTCAATTCTCATGTCTCAGCCTCTGAGTAACTGAGATTACAGGCATGTGTTACCATGCCCAGCTAATTTTGAATTTTTAGTAGAGACAAGGTTTCTCCATGTTGGTCAGGCTGGTCTCCTCAGGTGATCTGCCTGCCTTGGCCTCCCAAAGTGCTTGGATTACAGGCGTGAGCCAGTGCACCCAGTGTATCCATTCATTTTCTAACCCAGTTCTTCCAGTTCAGGGTCATCAAGGGTGGCTGGAGGCTATCCTGGAAGCTCAGGGTGCAAGGCAACCAACCCTGGACAGGACACTGTCCCATCATGGCACATACACATCCACACTTGCTCAGACTGGGACCCTGTAAACATGAAAATTTACCTGCTGTGCACAGCTCTGGGTTGTGGAAGGAAACCCATGCAGATCTAAAGAGAACACAGAAACTCCTTGCAGACCATGGCCCCAGCCCAGAATCAGTTTTTCTTTTTCCTCATCAAAGTTGAACAAAATGATGTTATTTGAAGTCCTGCTGACCTGTAAATTGTCATTGCTGTTATTTAATTTCTGATCAGAGATTACCAGTGTATTTAACTGTATTATTGCCTAAATAACAATTTCATTCTTTATTGTGGTAAAATTATTGCCTAAATAACAATTTCATTCTTTATTGTGGTAAAATTATTGCCTAAATAACAATTTCATTCTTTATTGTGGTAAAATATACATAACATAATATTTACCATTTTAACCATTTTTAAGTGTACAGTTTAGAGGCAAGAACATTCACATTGTTAGGCAACCATCACCACCAGGCATCTCCAGAACTTTTTCATCTTCCCAAACTGAAACTTCCTATCCATTAAACAATAACTACCCATTTCCCGTCCCCACGGCTCCTGGAAACCATCATCCTACTTTCTGCCCTTATGAATTTGAAAAAGTTTTTTCTCAGTAGTTTAAAATCATTTTTTTGTAGTCTCTTTAGTGAAGCTGTCCTCTGTGGTAAGACAGAACTGTGTGATACTTCAAGGTCATTATTTATAGATAAAAGAAATGATGCGCAGTCACTGGTGCCACCCACTCACTATGTTCCATGACATCTATTATAGGCAGAGAATTTTTTGTGGGCCTTTCCAAAAGGACAAATCAACGAGGTGCTGAAATCTTGGCTGATACTTTTAAGGTAGGTAAAAGGTAGTTCATGCCTGGCACAAAATAATTACTTAATAAATAGTTATAGACCCACTGAATCAATGTCATGAGTAATGGTGTTTACACTTCACTGGCTTTGTACAATAATTCCTAATATTTGTACATTTACTAGAAGTTTTAGAAGCTATTAAATTTTAATTTCTCAGTAATTCAGCTTCTTTGGGCTACCACAAGAACAACAAAGTTAGCATGGGCATCTTCTGTCTTCTCCCAGTGTATAATTATACAACCATCTGGCTGATTTTCTGGAACAACAACTTTTAAAAAAAAACCTGGAAGGCTGGGTATGATGGCTTAAGCCTGAAATCCCAGCGCTTTGGGAGGCCAAGGCAAGAGGATTGCTTGAGCCCTGAAGACTCACTCAATTGACTCTGTTATGAAATACAGATTTTTTTTTAGATTGGAATCAGGGATCACCTGTGCTTGAGTGCCTTCTGTGTGCTGGAAGTTGTGCTAGGTGTTGCACATACATCCACTTAAGGTCCCTTTACTGATTATTAATAGATTGGCTCTCTACATTGCATAGAAAGGAATATAATCCTCAAGATGCTCCGTTCCCCATGAGGATGTGAGTCTACAGCTGAGCCACTGTTTATACAGCATATTCAAACACACCCTCCCAGAGTAGCCCACTCCATAGATCAAACAGCCAGCAAAGATGTTGCAGCAGTCACACATCTGGTGACTCTGCTTTCTTCTTAAAAGCAGTCTTCATTTAACTAGCAGTATCCAAACCTGTGGGTCCCGGTTTTCTTCCAAATATGCAAGGTCCCTGGCAGCCTTCAGGGAGGTTTTTAATCAGTTTTAGAATTACTCTACAATACTGAACTGCTTGTTTTTCTGTTGTCTACAAAGGACTATGCAGTCTCCACAGTGCCGGTAGCAGATGGCTTGCATTTGAAGAGTTTCTGCAGCATGGCTGGGCCTAACCTGATCGCAATTGGGTCTAGTGAATCTGCACAGAAGGCCCTTAAGGTAAATACAAAACTGTGCTTCTTCTAAATGCAGTGGGTGTGCCTACCACAGGGTTTTTCACATTCTCTCTGCTGGAGGAATAACAAGCAGGGTTGGCAGGGAGAGAACAGGCAGGGATTTGAGCTTCTGTAATGTGCATTATTGTGACCTCACATTCATTAGAAACCAGGAACACCTAAGTTTAGAAAGAACTCTTTACTGGTGAACCGTTTTTAGTTACACACCAGATTTCCTAAAAAAAGACCATGATTCAAAATAATAAACACCAAACTCATCACCATTATCCCTCCAGGGAAAGGAGGGCATACCACCCTATAGAGCTCCTTGTAATGTTTTCTCACTTAAGTTGGAGAGTTGGTATGCAGGGTTTGTTACATTATTCCTATCCTTTTGTTGCATCTGGACTATTTCATAATAATCTTTTAGAAAACCATCATTCAGAAGTACCTAAAAAGCTTAACTTTTTTTTTTTTTTGAGACATAGTTTTGTTCTTGTTGCCCAGGCTGGCGTGCAATGGTGCAATCTCAGCTCACCACAACCTCCGTCTCCCGGGTTCAAGTGATTCTTTTGCCTCAGCCTCCCAAGCAGCTGGGATTACAGGCATGCACCACCATGCCCTGGCTAATTTTGTGTTTTTATTAGAGACAGGGTTTCTCCATGTTGGTCAGGCTGGTCTCAAACTCCCAACCTCAAGTGATCTGCCTGCCTCAGCCTCCCAAAGTGCTGGGATTACAGGTGTGAGCCACCATGCCCTGCAAAAGCTTAACTTCTTCATTTGCATTTGGAATAATTACATTGTAAGACTGGAAATTTCCTCATTTTATAGATAGTAGACTTGCTAGAAGATTAGACTTTCCCAGGTCACACAGCTAAATCAAGAGTGGAAATCATTGATAAAGAAGATGGGCTGGCCTGGTGGCTCACACCTGTAATGCCAGCACTTTGGGAGGCTGAGGTGGGCAGAACATCTAAGGTCAGAAGTTCGAGACCAGCCTGGCTAACATAGTGAAACCCTGCCTGTACTAGAAATACAAAAAAATTAGCCAGGCGGGGTGTCCTGCACCTGTAGTCCCAGCTACTCAGGAGGCTGAGGCAGGAGAATCGCTTGAGCCTAGGAAGTGGAGGTTGCAGTGAGCTGAGGTTGCACTGCACTCCAGCCTGGGGGACAGAGGAAGACAACAAAAAAAAAAAAAAAAAAAAAAAAGATGACCTTCTGTTGTTACACTGCTTTCAGTTCAAAGATACTTTCCTTCTCTGTAACTTCAACCCCTGAAATGAACTGGACACCCAATAAGGATAAAGATTGTGTCTCTTTTGCTCATCATTATGTTCCTTTTTCGCTTGGCCCACAGTGGGCCCTTAATAAATGTCTGATGAAGGGATGAATGAATGAGAGAGGTGGTATTATCTCCATTTTGCAGATGAGAAAACTAGATTAAGTCATAGTGCTGATACAGCGGGTCAGGACTGCAGCCTCTTCCTCTCAGCTGGTCCTGCACATCAGCATGCATGACTTATTAAAGGGCCAAAGCCAGAAGTTCCTCTTAGGCATAGACAGCAAACCTGTAGGCCCTGAGGGCTCTTTCAGGTCTTTTCCACCTCAGTGCTAAGCATGTTGGGAAGAAAGCAATCATTGCCTTGTGCTGAATCTCCCCTCTCTGTTATCTGCCACTCTTTCAGCTAGCTCACCTGGCCTTTCTTCCACCTCTTCCCAAGATGATTTGATTCTATTTCTAAGGCTTTTATTAATTGTTGCTGAACAATCTGTCTCAGAATTTGATTTGTATCATTGTGGCTTTTGTTAGGTTCCTTTGGAGAATGTCTTTTGCTCTGCTCCATCTGGAAGGCAGAAAGTGTCAACTTTCTGCATATAAAAAGAGCTGGTGTCTTGAAAGATAACATTTGATAAATGGTGTCACTTAGTGGGTCTAGGAAGATGATTTTTCTCATTAGGGACTGTGGTATCCATCCATGGTAGCTAGGCTGGTCTGCATATGTCTGAGATTGATTATAAGATGAGAGGATTTAAGCTGGTCTACACCATGCATTTGTGTGAATTAGCAGAAAGAACTCCTGGGTAGACTAGGTCCCTAACTCAAATTGTTTGGTCTCTACCTCAATAGGTCTGTAACTCAAATACTCTAGACAGACTAACACATAGCAAAATAAAAAGTAATAAAATGACTAATTAGCACTATGTTATATGATATAGGCTCTAACTTCTCTTCAAAGTTCAGAGGAAAAGGAGGAGCTTCCTGAGGCCTAGATACTGAGAGAAAGCTTTGTAGAGAAAATGAGACTAGATGTGAGCCTTGAAGGATGGATGGCATTTGACAGGGTGAGATTCAATGAGAGAAAATTACAGGTGGAGACATGGCATGAGCAAAGTATATTAATGACAAGTGAGCAAACCAGCTCACCTCATAAAGGAGTTTCTAGTCAATTTCCAGAGGTACAGGTGAAAGGGGCAGGTGAGATCTGAAGAATTAGGAACTTAATGGTGAAGAAGACAAGATTATCATCATGAGGGCACAGTCTGGGTACCAGCAGGTCTTTGAGGAGAAAGCTCTGCATTGTTTCAGAGATGTTGGACCAACATTGGAAAAGGAAGACCCTGCAGTCAGAAAAAAGGACCACTAATGACCTAGGGGGAAAAAAAGCTAAGCCAAGTCCTATTGCATGCCTTGGCAACTCACCTCTATTTCTCTGTTTATCTTTCCCTTCCCATGGTCAGGTTCTCTCAGACCACGTATCTTAAGGGCATCCTATGAAGACTTTATAGTCCTCCTCCCTGTAGAGTTCATTCGAGTTAGTGTTAATAATGATGTTCCTTTTCTACTTGTCAGAACCTATAAATAATCCTCACTAGCTAGAAAGGCATTTGTTGGAGATTGCATTTTCCATCAGCAAATGTACTGCCTAAACCACAGGCCTGTGGATTTGGTGAATGCGCACCCGCCATGTTTCTAGCATCAAAAATGTCCTGTTACCTTGTAGTGAAAGTAAGAGGACAAACTGATCTGGAGAATAATGAGCTCTTCCTAAGGAAACAGTCACAGGTTGGAAATGGGTTGGTGAAACTCAGATTTGGATGAACTCAGCTGCTTTATTTATTTGAGAGCAATTTGGTTTCTATATTAGAACCATCAATAAAATTAATATTGGAGCAATTATTAATTGCTAACGACTAACATAGAAATATAAATACTCCGTGTTATTAATGACAGGCAGGAAGACAGATGAATAGAGACAGATACATCACTTACAAGTGATGAAAGTACGATTGGTTTTGTTTTTCCCATTTTAAAGTTCAGAATACTGAGACCCGTTGAAATAATCATTTTGAGTGGGATCTCACGGTTCCAGAATCAAGTTTCCTGGACTTGCCCCAGTTGCTCACCCCACTCCATACTCAATCTTTTTTAATTAGAAAACTTTTTGTGATTATTTTACCATAGATTGATTCTAGCCAAGCTTGTCTCCTCCTTCCATGTCTCTCCACCTACCTCCTGACTTTCCATTTCTTACTGGTATCCAGGATCTGGCCAGTCTCAGGAAAGGTGTGAGTTTGGTACCAGATATTTATTTCTTCCCTTGTAAACCTTGATGTCTTAGTTCTTTCTGCTGTAGAGAAGTGCCTGGCCACTTGGGTGTCTCCTTCTTTAAAAGGCATATTACTTAAACAGAGGTGAGTTGTGCCTTCCTGTGCCACATAGTGAAAGCTTGATTACTTCTCACATCTGTCACTGCTCTGAGTACTTGGTTCCTTCAGAATCTACTTCTTACATATTTAGGTAAAGCTGAGAGCCCAAGGTTTCTGAGTAGTTTTATTGCATTTGAAATACTTTATAATGGATTACAATCTACTCATGGTTAATGAAGTGGATTCTTATGGAGATAATCATCTTGCCAGCAGAGATTATAGTAGATTTAATAGTGTGTGCATTGTATATTTAAATGAAATCATCCATCTAGGAAGATTTTAGTAATCCTCAACTAAAAAGCCTAGAACACATTCATTCATTAATTTAAGATGGAGTCTCGCTCTGTTGCCCAGGCTGGATTGCAGTGGCTTGATCTTGGCTCACTGCAATCTCAGCCTCCCAAGTAGCTGAGATTACAAGCACTTACCACCACACCCAGCTAATTTTTGTATTTTCAGTAGAGATGGGGTTTCACCATGTTAGCTAGGCTGGTCTTGAACTCCTGACCTCAAGTGATCTGCCTGCCTTGGCCTCCCAAAGTGCTGAGATTATATGCATGAGCCACCTGGCTTCCAGAACACATTTAATACAGGGTACCATCTGTATGGCAAAGGTACTAGAAGTTAGGTTGGTTTGAACAAATGCCTAGATATTTAACAGCAAGTCTTGATCCTAGAAATACTCTAGTTTTTAGAGTAACCTGCATTTCCTGTAGTTTTTCTCCCAACTTTACATCATTGCCTTCATACTCCTCTACCTGTAATAATAATGTGAAGGATCCAAGATGGCCAATTAGAAGCAGCTCAGGATTGCAGCTCCCAGTGAAAGGGCAGAGAGTGAGTGGACGCTGCATTTCCAGACGGATTTTTATTGCCCACAGACCACGAGATTCCCAGGCAGAGGAGCCCCATGGGTAACCAGTGCCCTGGTGTGGCAGTTATCTGAACAAAATACATGGGTCCAGGGTGCCATTTTAGCTGGCGTTTGGAGCTCCAGGAAGGCAGAGTCACCGATTCATCTGATTAAAAAGGGGACTGAAACAGGGAGCCAGGCAAGGAGATTCTGGGGCAAAAAAGCACCATGAATCTCAGTGCTGCTATTTCAGCCAGCATAGTGGCTTACCGCATGGGAAATCACAGAGATCCCAGTGCCTTTTCAACAGGTGACTGGAATACCTGGGAGACAGTTGACCGTTCAAATAAAAAAAAGGGGGGGAGGGCTCTGAGGTAGGCAGCCAGGTGATCAGGCTCAGCTGGTCCCACCCCCACAAAAAAACAGCAATAGGAAACACTCTG